AAGAGAAGAGAAGAGTTCATGTTTGGTTCATGGTGAGGAATTTCGTTGAAGTCTTTGCAGTGATTGAATGACAACTGCAGGTGATGAAAGCGCATTATCACGGGAATTGTTCAAAAATGTGCGAGTTTATTGTTGGATAATGACTTCCACGAATAATACTCGCAAGAAGGCTGTAAACGTTAACGCGACATGGGCAAATCGTTGCAACAAACACGTTTTTATGACTGCTGCACAGGTTTTGCTGATGATCATTTAATTGCACAACGGTCGCACACAATTATCAATCATGTCATTCATTTCACGATTAAATCGCATCGTACAACTGCTGACGAACTATGCATTACAGATTAATTTTCGCTGAATTGTAGTCTCCGTAATCTGAGCAAATGGTCGATGTAAATCATAGTTTATGTTTAAAGACCATCTGAAGAAAATTATGAATAATTACTTTTCTGTCTGATTGCAAATTGTGAAGAGTCCTCAAAAGTTTGCCTTGAAAAATATCGAGTGAAAACAGTTTTCCTCAAATAGGTCGATGGTTTGCCAACAGTGGATTTGAATGTGACCGAAGGACGAGAGTACTTGTGGATGAAAACCAAAGAGGCCTTCAAACATATTTATAATGTGGGTAATTTTCTTTTTAAAAGCTCATACATATGATTTGATTAAACTCACTTGCACTATACCGATATTGTCACTGCAAGATACCACCGAATCGCTATTGGATCACTAGGACTACATCCGTCATGGATCTTATATTTTGAATGGAGATCAAAAGTTTGTCACCGAAAGCATTCAGATCAAACTTTCTATCCTCCTCATGATTTTGAGATTTTTTCATTCCCGGTGGCGCTTTCGTCGTGCTGATAGGCTATTAAAGAAACCGGTTCTTCGAATATTCGCATTTTTTCGATCAAAAATTCAGAATGAACTTCACGACTACGATTGGTTTCTAAAAGCTGACGATGATACGTTCGTGATAATGGAGAATCTTCGATTCATGTTGCTGGCTTATTCAGCAGACGATCCGATTTACTTTGGATGCAAATTCAAAGCGTTTCTATCGCAAGGGTATATGTATGAATCATTAACCTTAATGTTCTCTCCCAACGCACATTTCAAAAAAATGGCTTTTGGAAAAAAGAGAAGTTGCGATCGTTCGGATCAAGTTAATAACAAGGAATAAACAAATTCAGCTACATGAGTGGTGGTGCCGGTTACGTGTTGAGTCGGGAAGCAGTGAAGCGTTTTGTGGAAGACGCACTCCCGGATCCACGAAAATGCAAAGCAAAAAATACGGGTGCCGAGGACGTCGAGCTCGGCAAATGTCTGCAGAACGTGGCTGTCATTGCGGGTGATTCTCGTGATTCGCAGGTTTGTTTTAGTCCTCTTCTGTGGGCTTGAATTCAAAGGAAAAATGATCAACAATTGAAGACTTATCGTGAAAGTGACTATCTGTTTGAGTTTTAGAACGAAAATGTTGCCTCATGATTTTGTTCAAATTTGAAAAAGAGATAAACTTTCAGAAAACGTACACCTAAATATACTCTACAGCATTAATATGGCTATTTTTAAAGCAGTAAGTTGGGTTTATTTTTACAGAATCGTCATCGTATGCTACCGTTCTCTCCACAATCACATGTTGCATCCAATCATACACAACCGAAATGGTTCTACAAATACATGTATTATTCATACAAACAGGTTCCTCCACAATACTCTTCTCAATGAGCATCTAAGAAGTAAATCTGAATCGCAACACGTCTTTCGTGGATGATTTTTTCGTTCTTTTGCAATCCTTTTCTAGTCGAATTGCACCCAAGTGGAACATTCCCTCAGCAGAAGTTAGCAGGTTTGACATTTCAGGGAACGGAATGCTGCAGTGATTATGTTATATCATTTCACTATGTGAATGCACCGATGATGTACGCACTGAATTATATCATTTACCATGTGAGGGCATTCGGACTGGTTATTGGTGATTTTTTGGACGATCAGACGGACGACGCAGCAGCAGACCAAATGTCCTTACTTGAACGTGCAAAGCAAAAAGCCATTCGCTACTCGAAACCGTTACCGAAGCTCGTAACCGTTGAAGAGCCAGAGGCGGCTGAGTTGAGGTCAATGGAGGAAAAAATGAAGAAAAAAACATAGATTAGGCCGTTTTACGCGACGGTACAATTCATTGCAGTCCCGAGAAACGGTCATGCCGAATAGTTTCAGCAGAGTCATGCTCATAACTGTATGTGATAAATAAAATCAGAGTAGCCTTACACATCCTCTACGGCGTCATGCGCGCTACTCTCTATGTTTCCATAATTTTTCTCGTATTTACGAATATTTTTCGTCCGGTGTTGAATGTGCTTCCAATTGTTGCTTTATTATGTGTGTGATAAGATCATCCGTGCTGCTTCTTGCTTACTAAGGTCAAGTTTCCCTATCCGGAACAACCTCAGTTTGTTCATTGAATATCCTTGCCGAATGTTGCTGATGAATTGTATTCATGGATACACTGGTTGTGCCATTAATTTGTGTGGTACGGGTACTTTGTTAGTTAATGCGGTCGATTATGGATGATTCATTCTCTATGATCAGCACATAAGAACATAGATTTTTCCCATTATTCATTGTTACAAGTGAACAAAACTGCAGTAAACTATAAAATATATAATGTTTTTTTCTTCTCAGTTTTAATTTGCATAATGTGAATATGTGTTTTGCCTTACAATTAGCAACTCACTGACGATGAGTGTAGCAAGTTCATTCGCATTGGAACAAGTAACGAAACCTTCAGCATACTCCTATGAGTTGGACGCGATCTTGAAGTCATGACTAATAACAGTGGTCATTTATAGATCGAGTGTTCAATTTCTTACATACGTATCGGATACCGTTTGCAATACTCCTCATGACTGTAAAATAATCATAAAAGCAATAAGATAAGGCATTTTCACTCGATTTTCACTCGATGCAATAGCGGATTCCATTTCAAAATGTATGAAAAAATGGAAGTGCATCTGAAAACTGCTGTTTTCAACGGATATGGATGCTGTTTACGCACTGAAAAACAGCTCTTATGCAAAAAAAACTGTGTACACATATCCGACCAAACACTCTGATGTAACAAAATCAATTGTCATGCTTCGTTCAGTTCTCATCTCTTCTTTTGAACGCTGCGAGTTTTTGTTGCAGTTCCGGTCGGATCACCAGTCTTTTTGGTTGTTCCCATGGAAATTCCGAGTGTCCGAAATGGCCATTTCTTGCTGTGGCTTCGAAGATCGGTTGTTTTAAACCAAGTTCCCTGAAATGTGCACTATGAAGATGAAAATCATCTCAGTGTTGTCATCGAACACTGCTCAATGATGCGTAATCAAAGATGAGAGCACTTGCGTCGGATAAATGATTAAGGATCGAAACTTCACAAACTTGTGGCCACCAACCGAATAAGCACTCCTGGACGCAAGTCGAAATTGTCGCGTATTACCGTTAGCAGTTCCTTCTGGTTTAGCGGTGTTGTTCCGTATGACATTACCGTTACGGACAGAGGTTCCGCTATTCCGATCGCATAGGAAACCTGAGAGCATGAATATGTGCTCATTCTCAAACCGATCGCATTTCATCATTCGAACGAAGATATTTTATAATTTTCAATTAATTCAAAAATTCCTTTCCAGTGTCACGAATTCATTCAATTAACAATTTCCTAATAAAATTTGCAGTAGTCGATGCAACCTAGTAAACGAATTTCCAACAGTTTCATCGATAACTTTAAAACCGAGTTAATGCCATAAGTAGAAATAAGGAAACGAACAATCCATTCTTACAATGGTTTATTGCACATATTTTGTCATAAAGATGTGGAACTCCGTCTTCCTTTAATTCAACTGTAAATCTGTAAAAGATCGCCGGAATGACCAGCCTACTCCGTCGGCATCTCATCGTCAATTATAGTTTGCAATTAGTGCTTGTCATACCTGAATGAGAACTCGTCTACAAATTTTTGCGGCCACTAGCGATTTCGCTACCCATCTAGCACCGTAGGCACCACTTCGATCGACCTGAACAAGTTTGACATGAATAGAGTTGCTTCGAACATGAATAGGATCAATCTCCCTCTGTGCTGGTTAATCATTTCAAAATCCTACTTCGACAGGTTCCTTCCTAGTGGAATAAATGAGCTTCCGAACAAACTTTTGTGGCGTCTTTGCCTGAGAACGCTCCTCCACCATGTGCTCCCCAACCGCCATATGTGTCCACAATAACTTTTCGACCTGTCAATCCAGCGTCACATTGTGGTCCTCCAATATGGAAGTCACCACAAGGATTCAAAAGATATTTAGTGTTTGCATCGAGTAGAGAACTTGGTATGACATCCTGAAGAGCAACAGTGCTAACAGAACAGGACAGACCACTGGAAGTGACTGCAGATATTGCCTTTTCTTCTGCTAATCCCCATCTAATCCTCAAAACCTCTGGGATTCAACACATCCGCATATTGATGAGCACATCATTAGTGAAATGTCAGGTCCGAAAATTTCATCTGGTAAGTTGACCTCAGATGACGTTTCACGATAGTATCTCACGTTATCAAATGGTAACGGTTTTTCGACTATGTGAAATATCTGCGCATTATGGCTCTCAGGAACATACGTCTTATGATAATCATTTAGTGATGACAGATGAGCGATATCGTTGGAC